GGGCTGGGGATTCGAACCCGCCACCTTAGGTGTACGTGGCTGGCGCCTCAGCCGGTTGAGCCACAGGCGCCGAGCCGTGTTTATTATTTTCTAAAATAAGTGTTAAGGCCAAAGGCTGAAGCAAGTCAAATTTTTTGAGGTACTTACAGTACTATCATCAGGAATCTCTCAGCTACCTCTTAGGCATAGAGGTGGGAGGTTGGTGTGAAAGTGCAAGTGCAGAAACCCTGACTTCTGACAAGTTATCACAGTCAGTATGAGAAGATTCATCCTTGCCTTTTTCTCCCCAAGTAATACATGTAGCACCTTGTTTTAGTTTATAAGGCAGTAGTGTTTGTGTTATGAAACGTTTGACTGGTACCAACTGTGTCTTTGACATTGTCTTTGATTCACTGTGTTATTCTGAGCAATTCTCTAGCGGAGGACAATAGGGGAGATAAAAAGAATTTGGGCTGCAAATGCCAACCAGATGAACAGAATGTCATGTGCTCTGTGGAAACTTAATAAACATTAGAGGTGCTAAGAACGTAGAATGGATCAGGGTAGAAATGAGTTCTAACTCATGGGCGACTCTAGTTTCAGGGGGAAAAATTTATTTCTGCACTTATGTAAATTCTTCAGTGCAGAACCTGTGAAGTCAGGGAGGAGGGTGAATGGAGGGTTTAGCATTTAGCAATAAAGGCATTATGTGTGTGTGTTCCAGTAATACTTAGAGATCTTTATCTAGGTCAATTGAGAAGAACAGGAGGATTCTAGAACAAGCTAGTTTGTCTGAGAAAGAGAGGGCTAGTTTTCATTCAGTCCATAGTACTCAGGTAGTATATGTATACTATTTAATTATGTTTTTATTATGGGAATCTTCGAGCATTCATTATTAGAGGGAATAAATTAATATAACAAATAAATGAATCCATTTCTTAGTGTCAGATTTAATATTCATCAATACATGCCAGTCTTGTTTTACTTATTTTCTTTCCCTACCCTTTAGCTGTATATAATTTGAATAGGCCGCACGTAAATGTCTCTGTTTGAATTTAATATATATATATAGGGTACATGTGAATCTCTCTAAATGTAGAATATAAATGTTTTGTTTTTCTTTTTTATTGAAGGGTAACTATGTACATTAATGCACTTCTGAGGTACAGTGTGGTGTTTTCACATACAATCCAACACACTTCCATCAAGTATGAAAGTATTTCAAATTGTACATAGAAACAGTATACTGTACTCCATGATAGTATTAATGTACACTGCTATGATTTAATTTAAAAAATGAATTTAATATATAATAGTATAGTAAACTATATAATGCTAATAATTCTTAATCTGTTTTACTATAATAAATTAAGAACTGATTTGGGGAAATTTCTACAGGTATCTTTAAGTAGACCTTTAGAGAAAACTTAAGGCTTTAGTATATTTTTGAGAAACTGTCTTAAGAATGCCTCTTTTTTTGTTGTTGTTTCTTGACTGTAGATTTTCATAGAGCAAGAAGTCAGCATTAGATACCAGGCTATTGGACCTGCTGCCCTCTTAATGCCTTCTATAGTCTTGACAGACCTCAGTAGCAGAACTTTTCTCTGGTACTGTACAACTTATTGCTAGAGAGGTTCTCAGAATGTAAAATTTAAGGAAGCACTCTCAGGTGCTGGCTGTGTACCTGCACAAGCCTGAGAACAGGGTACCTCCTTAAATTTTATGTCTGGAGTGCCTCACTTGCCTTGCTATATATTGTACTCTTGTTCAAACCATTGGACTTGAGGTAGCCAGCATACACAGACACATACCTACTCTATCTTGAATCCATACTTTTTATCTCAACTGTATGTCCTATTTTTTAAACCTTAAAGTATTAAAACCGTATTTAGAATACTTTCCTTTTATCAGTGGGGGTCAAATGCTGCTAATGGCTCAAACATCTCAGAAGTTCCTAAGCTTTGTGATAGAAAAGAGAATTCTAAATTTAAGGGGCTTCTATGTCAGGCACAATGGTTCTCAGATCTGCTTTGTGAAGTAGAAGTTATTCCATGTTATAGATAGGAACTATGCACTCAGAAACTAAAGACCTCTTGGTGAAGTCATGCAGCCATTAGTAATGTGGCCAGGATTCTAACCTAGTTCTGAGTCTCCAAACCCATTACTGGTCACTACTTTCATGGATTCATGTCTACAGTAGAACTTCAGTGTATATATGTGCGCACATGCATGTGTAGAGAGCTCTTTCATTTTCTGAAAGTGCTTACATTTTTGAATACATAAAGACCTTTATCTGAAAACTGCTTTATTATAGAAATCTTCTCAATCTTACTCCAGTGATGGATGTGAGCCCTTGTTTTACTGCTGATGATGACCAATTTTGTTCCAGTTTTTAAAAGGCTGCCCCACATGGTGGCAGCACTGCACCAGCAAATATTAGACTCTCCTACAGAGACGATGGATACTTCCAGAGGTTCTGCCTTATTAATTTCTTGTAGCTCACTTCAGAAGGGCGTCCTATATTTGAA